TATATATATATATATATATTAAAGCCAATACATGAGCCCCGAATTTTACTACATTTGATGTTGCATTTATGGGCTTATGCCATACAAATACTTTCAAAAAATGATGTTGCGTTCCTGTGTGTTTGTATTGGGGAAAACATACAGAAAACATGCTTTTCAGAAATCCAACCCATCAACCCACCACAGGCAAGGCTAGGAGTGCAAAACACATTAAAAAGTGTCGAATTTAGGGTTCCTTGCCACACGACAAAGATCAAAGATATCATGCGATTAAGCAAATTGAGGGATGTTCGAGATCGTAGTAGTTTGGGGCCACGGCCGGGTGAAGGCCCCGTAAGACGTTTTAGGGGGTCGAGGAACCAACAAAATGTTTAGAATCTAGGTAGGTTTCTTGTAAAGACTCATGAAATCCCAATAGGTCTTAATCATGGGTAGACGGGTTGCAAAATGGGCGTACAGTAAGTGGGGATTCTCACGCCGAAAACAGTGTCTGTGGTTGTAACGTGAGGATTCTGGTTGTAAAGCGGGTGAATCTCAGGGGAGGGAGGGCGCCTGTCTGTGCCTCTGTCCCGCTCTTCGTCTGTTGCGGTTATCGTGTCTGTCCGTCTGTTTGTGAGGTGAGTGTGCGGGACAGCTGATATCCACTGCGGTGCAGGCATGGGATGAATTGTCTATAGCGCTGGCCTCGTCTTCGTCCTCGGACTCGATCGTCTCTGTCAAGTCCGGCGGCGAGATTGGCTCCTGTGAGGAGCATGAGATCGCCCAAGTGATGATGCGCCATGATACTCAAAGCCGAGATGCCACTTCGGTCCGCTTGCAGCGGCACCATTTGCAGCTTCGACAACGGCACCAGCCCTTGCAGATGCTGCGAGGCCCACAGAGGCCTCTCACCTGCGTTCGCTTCGCATCGCTTCGCCAGTTGGGTACATTCACTTGCTGCGGGGACTCGGTGGATGGCCTTCAGGACCAATCTCTCTGGCCAGAAGCGCTGCAGGCACGAGCCCAGTCGATCAAGACATTTGCCAAGCACACCTCGCAGCGAGAGCTACATGGCTCGTCCGGAGCTGCACTCAGCAATAATGCTATGCTGAGGAGCTGCAACAGAAACTGATTGCCCGTGGCACTAGCAGTATAATCGGCAGCACAGGCCCCAAGCATTCCTTGCACAACAAGCACGAGGCTCACTATGTGGGCAAGTCCGACAGTGCAACACGACGAGTTCGGGCTTCGGATGGGATCTTGGCCCAAGGTTCATCCACAGAGGGCTCTCCGACAAACAAGTGCAGGATCAGCATCAGCGGCTCGAAAAGCACCAGGTTCAACAACCAACTAATCGCTAGCAGTACGACGTAGCGCTGCATCTCTGGCCTCATGCACATCTATGCGGCAAGATTCGTGGCCACACGTGCCTCTGGGTCATGCTGTCAGACTAGCAAGAAAAACTGCGCATGAACTCTGGACGCTAGTGGCTTGTGCCAAGCGACACTAAGACCAGCCGTGGCTGCCAACTCTCATCGGCACTGGCTGCAGAGGCCTCCGCCTGCTCATCCGGAGGGAGCTGGATCTCAATGCGCCCGGGCTGATCCGTCTGAGTGGTTTCCCACCTGGAGCGCCCCAGCGCTGACCGATAGCTCTACCACAAAGCCCGAAAAGTCATAAGCATGGCACAGAAAACCGAAAAAGAAAACTGGATGATGTAAGCCACATGTATATCGAGGTGGAGAAGTGGAACATGTAGAAGCACAGTCTCCACGCCACGAGGCAAATAAGCAGCACCTCAGAAAGCACGACAACCTCGCTTGCATTCAACGCTTCCGCGATGTTCAAAGGCCTTGCCTCTAGCTACAGTACGGCAGTACGAGTACGGTATATCGAGTGGTCTTCTCCTCGCCGGTCACTGCGAATACTGTGTTCTACGGACAAGCATTAGGCCGTAGGCCCGGCACCAGGCAGGGGAGCACCAAGGACGGCCACCAGTGGAGCGGGAGCAGCTTCCGCCGCCGTGGCCGCCAGCACCCGAAAGGGCAAAAGCGGCAGAGCTTGCAGAAGACATTCCACACGCGCACCTCAACTTCTGAAGATACGTCAAGAAGATGCTTGCAATGGCTTGCAGGCTTGGCTGAACCGTTCTGGCTGTTGCGGCCTTGGCTTCTGCTGGCGCCATCAGTACAGATGGCCATGGACCCAGAAAGTGGCGCGTGAAGGCTCTGTCACGATCCTCGACACTGAGGTCCTGCTGCCAGCAGAAGGAAAGCTTGCAACTACGATCAATAACGTCTGCAACACCGTGCCGCAGGCTCCTTCGCTCTCACGACGAAACTCCGGCCCCGGCAGAATGTTTGCAGAGCTCCGGCCACAGGAGGAGTGAGCGCTGCTGCCAGCACCGCAAGGCCCACGGAGGTAGACTCAAACAGGCATCCAACCTCTGCAATGCGAAACCTGAGCATGTGGGGGTAAAGTCCATGTGCGCGCCGTTCGTGAAAGTCCAAACATGGGGATTCGACTTACAAGCCAATGTCAATGTCAATGTGTCTTTCATTGCCAGGTTGCTCACTAGCATCTCTTAGGCAGGCGGGTTCCTGAAAAGGTCGACGGTGCTCGAAGCCACCTGCTGCGTACATCCAGAGGCATCAAGACGGAATCATCAGCACGCTGCCGCTACTAGTATTTGCACCGAGTTATTGAATTGATTCCGAGATTTCAGGCTTAGGCACCCAGCACCACAGACAGCCACACCGCGTTGATCCAAAGGCTCGCATGCAACATCGCAGCTCGCTCTGGTGCACTGAAGATAAAGGTCTGTGAGTCGTCAGACAGAAAGAGGATCCTGGATGCAACGATAGTTTGGATGGAGGCTCGCAGCTTTACAGAAAACTCTTGAAAAAGGACGTTGCGCATGTTGCGCACAAGAAACGTGCCCAAATCGTTCCCAGAGGCTTGTGGTGCGCGAGGCAGGCTCGCCAGATGTGCTTTCGCCTGCACCTCCGAATAGCGTCGACGATCAAGCCACGGAGCCCCCGCCTGGCAAGCTTTCAGATGTCGCCACGGACCTCAAAGCGAAGCGAGGGCCTCGGCTTTGTCGGCGGCTTGGAGGAGATCATTGCCTCCTCCGGACGGAATCCCTGCAAGAGCAGAGCTTCGTCGAAGTTTGCTCAGCCCGGGCCCGGCCTCTTGAGCAGCATCGCGGAGCGAGGCATCGCGCAGCGAGAGCGCTTGCATGGGCGATCCTCGGCAGGCGACTCGTCCTTCCGTGACCCGAGTCGTGTCGTCGCGGGCCCTGCCTGTGGCACTCGGCATCCGCGCGCTGGGTGTGAGCAAAGACGGGGTGGCTTTAGACAAGGAGGAAGTCACCACGGTCGTGCCCGGAAGCGGCTGCAGGCCGCCTGCAAAGGGCAGGGCAGGGCAGGGCAGGGCAGGGCGGAGTCGCGAGATATCGCGAGATGACGCGAGATGACGCGAGTCGCGAGGCCTGGCCTGGGCCCATGAGAGCCGAAGGCGGCATCCGAACCTCGTCGTCTTCGACGTCTCCCAGGCCATGCGCCTGGAAGAGCGTGGCCATGCCATCCTTGGCCTTCCCAAACAGAGCAGAGCCTTCAGAGCCTGCGAAGGTGTGCAAAGGCGATTATGGCCTGTCGGATGTCCAGCCGTGCTGCTGCCGGGGTGGACGCATGTGGGAGGCCTGATCCACGACATGGAGGTTTGAGTTTATGAGAACCCTGAACGGAACCGCAAGCGGCCTTCTGCCCGTCGTACGATCTCCTGCGCCTCGGCGGCGCAGATGGCGGCGCTGAACTCGCCTGCGGCCGCTCCAAACCCCTTCGCCTTCTCTTTCGTTCTCTTAGAAGCTCTCGGGCCGCCTGTGGCTCGGATCTCCGCGGCGCGTCGTCGGATGAAGTCCTCTGCGAGGGGCGAGGGGCCGGAGCGATGGAGCCGACTGCGAGTCAAAGCACCGCCCCTGCCTTCTCCTCAGCATCGAGCTGTTGCACCTCAACCTGGATGCCCTTTGCCCGCATGGTGCGCATTGCCACCCACCGCGCTTGCGAGCGCCAGCGGACCTGAAAGGGCAAAGGCACACAACGGACTTGGCCCACTCACAGCATGGCCCACATCCCTCCTCTGGGCCAAGGCCTGCCTCAGCGTAGGTGGCCAGCAGAAGGTGAAGTGCCGCGAACAGCAGCAACACCGGAGGAACGAAGAGGCCGCGCAAATTGTAGCTGTGGGCCTCGGGAACCGTTGTCACATACGATCAAAGGCAGCGAAAGTCAGACTTGCACTAGGACCGCGTTCATTGTAACTCCGAAGAACGTAAAACCTCTGATGATTTGAAGTCTTCCAATCCCCCGGCCTTGTCCAACCAGAAGACGGCCACTTCCCGTGTCTGGATCTGCACTTGTGGCGGGAACGGCGTCAGGGCTGGCCTGGGAGACGGCGAAGACGTGAGAAACAACATGGAAGATACCAGTCTCGATTTGACTCTGCTAATGGCAATGATCTTGCGGCACCCCCGCTGCGGCCCCGCTACCCACAGCACCAACAGGACCAGGGAAAGGATTAACGACCGACCCCTGCACTAGGTCACTAAGCTGATTCGTGAACTAAAGATTCGCGCACTCGCTCCATGGGCCCGCAGCTGCACTCCGCTCAGGTGTGCAATTTGGGCCATGCGGCAGCTTGGAAGCCACGGCCATAGCAGGGTGCAGCGCCCAAGCTTCACATTCCTCGGCATTTTAGCAAATGAAGCCATCGTCAGCCATGTAAAACGCTATGGCGCGAACAGCCAACCTCTGAAAAGACAGCAGAATCGAGGACGGCTTGGCATTGCGTTTTTGCGGAGCGATGTACACCGTTGCGACCCTTGGCACATTTCGGGATGCGTGGCCCCCTGAGCCACCCTACAGAAAGCACCAAAGACAACATGTCTTTAGCAAGAAGGTGGAGGCCATGTCTGCTTTTGCAGCGACCTAGTCAGCATTCGCATCATTAGCACGGACACCATCATACATCTAGCTTCAGTCGATCTAGCAGTCCGGCAAACTGTGATCGGAAGGGTGCTTCCTTGCGCGAAGCGCCTTCTCACAATATATCCTAATAATTCCTAATATGCTGTTCTGGCTGCAGCCATGCCTCGCAAACGACCTCCAAGCGACCTTGCTGGACAATGGGCCACTGACGGCCTTGCGACGGTGTTCTGGGTTCTGGTCTGCAGGATGCAGAAGCGCTGCAAGCAGAACTCTCTGCAATGGGAGTCTCAGAAAATACACCTCATACAGAACCTAGTTTCGTGAGGAGCCTCTGCATAAGGATTTCTTGTTTGAGACAGCCCCAGACATCCCCAGACTGCCGCGCCTGGCTGGGCCACGAGTTCACAGCCCAAGGCTGGCACAAACCGCCGCAAGGGCGCCGACCAGGCCACGCACTCCAAGTCCATCAGAGGATCCAGGCCTCAGAAGGGCAGCGATCCCTGTCATGGTGACCCACCTCAAGTCACCAAAACAAGGCTGGGTAACATACATTAAGTTCCTTAACAAGCATCTGGCGTCTCATGAGAAGACATGAAGCAATGCTATCGAGTGCCGGGCTCTACGGATTCCAACAACTATCAAGATGCAAATCCTGTGATTGGATGTGCAAAGGAGCAGAAAATGACTTAAGCAACAACCAAGACAGGTTTCCGCAGTCAGCAGGCGGTAAGCACTCCACGTCCGGACCTGAAGAGAGGAACGCAAACGAGTCGATCACAGGTTAAACTGGTTAAACGTCAACTACAAGCCCATTTAGGAAATGATCCGTTGCCGAGAGAATGCTGCGAACTGCACTTTCTGACAACAGCCACGGAACCCATCAGCGAATGAAAACCGCGTGACCGCACAGATGGGGCATGTTGTCTGGATTCTGAACACTGGCGACTGGTGACAATGTTGCTTACCTTTATTACGAACATCTGGTCAAACAAAAGTCTTGTTGCAGGGAGAGCATCCTAATCTCTGTATCTGATGATGCGCAACACAAACTAGCTTTCAGGGCAAGTCGCAGAGCAGAGACTCCATGTCGATGGTCGATGTGCTGGTCCAAGTCGTGGAGGTGGCAGTTGGAAGTGGCGGTTCCCAACCGGGTCCACCGGGTGCACTGCTCCAGTAGCTGGCATCCCACTCTGATGGGAGGCCCTCCTCCAAGGCTGCCAGCACCGTGTGGAGCGGTCTGGAGCCTGTCGTATCATTCAAGTTGAGCACCGCAGGCTCGAGAGCAGCCAGCACGGCAGCCAGGCGCTGGGTAGGGGCAAGCGCAGGCACCTGTGCAAAAAGCGAGCCAGCCAGCGAGCGGGAGCGAGACCGAGAGAGAGAGAGAGAGAGAGAGAGAGAGAGAGAGAGAGGGAGAGAGGGAAAGAGGCCAGAAGAAGTGAGACGCATGGTTGAAGCTCTGCCTCACACCAGCTGTGCAGCAGCGACGAGGTGGCCATCCCACGGGTCGCCAGGGATCCAGAGCTGTCGGTGAGCCTCGGCAGGCCGTCGTTGTTCTCCAGATCCATTTGCAAGGCTCGAGTCAAGAGCTCCAGGGGATCCGAGAAGACGACTTCCAAGGTCGATAGGACGGGCCCGGAGGCCGAAGCCTGAGGAGGCTGAGGATAAGGTACCACCGGCCTGGTGCTGGTGCTCGTGGTGGCCGTGGAGGAGCTGCGGGTAAAGGTCGTGCTGGTGGTGGTCAAGGTCGAGGGCTCTGGCGCCCAGTGTCTCAAAACGTAGCTGGCATTAGAGAGCTCGTGTGCCTCCACCCATGAGTCGATCCAACTCGCATAGATCAGAGCCATGGCATGTAGGAACACGAGGCTCCGCCTCGACATCGACAAATCTTCACGGAGACGTCAAAAACAACTTGTTTTTGTTTAGATGGCCATTTCATCATCCAAGCAGCTCTCTACTCAGGAGGGTCAACTGGCCAGGAGCAGGCAGTCCCACTGTCAAAGCAGAGCTTCCCTGCATGGACAGCTGCACTCCAAACACGCCGAAAAGTAGAACGCCCTGCTCGTCTGCCTGAAGTTACGTGGTAGTGAGGAAAGCCAGGCAAATCATTCACGAATTTACTACCTAGACCTGGACTATCATGATGGGAATTATGGCAAGTTAGTTCCTTCACGAGAACCCAGTTGCAAGCTCAGCATCAACGTAGACGGGCAGCTCGGTCTCCAGCGTCACCCCGCTTGGGCACCAGGTGTCAGTCTGAGCTTGGTCTCCACGTGAGCACCAGGGTATCTCTGTCGTTGTTGCGGAGGTCGTGGAAGACGTGGTGATGTTCTGGACAACAAGCCATCCATGCACAAAAACTCTGTCGTGCTTAAATCGCCCTTCCAAGGCCTGAGCTCTATGCGACGTTGGGAAGCCAGTGAACCCGATGAACCCAGATTTTGGCTTATGGGTCAAGCTCCCCTAGTGTAAATTCACTACACCCAGCCTTACTGGCAGCACGTGTCAATTAGATGCCCGCCTGGGTGGTGGTGGAGTCTGTGCTGCTCGTGCTACTCAACGTAAAGCTTGTCGTTGTGGTAAGACTTCTGGTCGAGGTCCGACTCATCGTGCCTACAGAACCAAGATAGTGAACATGCCGAAGCTCGGCCTACCAGCAGCAGACACAGTCAACGAAGCACGAGCACAAAGATTTGCAGTCAAAGTTCTGCTCGAGGACGTGCGTGTTGATGATGTAAAGGGTGCGGTAGATGAGTAGCTGCTGGTGCCTCAGAGTTCTGACACCATCTACAAGCACATCCAGTTCTTTGGAGATTTCAGGCCGCCAAGCCGCTGCTCGTCGCGGTCGTGGTGGTGTTGCTAGTGTGGGTTCCAGTGGAGGTGGAGGTGGTCCCGGTGACTGTGGATGATGTTCTGGATGTTGTCCTTAGAACTCGGGACTACGCCTCAGCCATGCTGTAAATTCTGAGGTCTGGACGTGCTTGTGGTGACAGTGCTGGAGGTTGGCACCAGGGACGGATCCGCCTCCACCTAGCATCTCTCAGGGTGACAGATGGAGCCATATCACGGAACACAACTTCCTAACGCAAAATGGAAAGGGGACATCAACGACAGAAGCTCTCAGAGCTGCATCAGGCACAAAAGCTTAATGGGCCCTATGATCCCTATGTCCTGAACTCCACTCGACTCACTAGACCATGCCAGACTCACCAAGGGGCCAAACAACTTGAGTGTCAGTAGGTTCAAGAGCTCCAAGCGGATTCGGAAACGAAGTTCTGCAGACGACAACGGGCGGCGCCTCCTCTGCTGCCTGGAGCAGTGCATCCGCAAAGGTCTGCCAGCTGGGCACCTGGAGCAGTTCAGCACTTTTCGGCTTCGAGATCAGCGAGGCTCGAGATGGCTTTCTCAATGATGGGGAAGTCGGATAGGTGGGGCAAGCGATTTATCGGATACGTTTGGCTTGTGGGGCTTTGTGGAGGATCACAAGGGGACAGCGAGCACAAAGCTGTGCAAATCTCGAGCGCTACCGGAGAGCCAACACATTCATATTGCAATTGTATGTGCATCCGCGGCCCTGACAGATGACTGTAGCAGCCGCGCGCGGTCAAACACAGTGCGGCACCATGCGTCTGCTGACCAGCCTGTCACGATCGCAGGCGGCTGCAAGCAGTGGCAGCAGGATACTCACAGCGACATAACCAGCAACAACATTCATTATCAGAACAAAGGGCAGCAGAACGATGACAAGAAATGTTCGTCTGTTGAAAGCCTCGTAAGGTGGGGCGAACCTGGGTGGGCAAAAAAGCCCCTGACACAGGCAAAACACGGGCATGACCAAAAGAATGGAATCTATAATGATATCCGCCAGTCGTCTGAATCTAACAAAGATTATGTTTGCTGCTACCTCGTTTGTACATACATCCGGGAGATTGCATTTAGCAGATGCTCACGGTCATAACCCCGGACCGCAAAGACTCTTCACACATGTCGTTCTGGCCCACCGGATTGCTGATACACACGGGCAAGTGCTTGCGTCCGAGACCAAGAAGATAGATACATTTTCCAAAACCCACGATCCAAAACTATGTTCAGGGCGCTTCTACGGTGTCCGGGGCACTACCGTTCCGCTGTGATTCGCCCCGCTGCACTACAAGGCATGTGGGATTGACGTGCAGCTCTGCAAAACGCTCTACATGTCGAGGAAGACCTGCTCTCAAGAGCCGCTTTCAGACTTAAGCACTGCAGAGTGTTTTCCTTTGGGGTTCACCCGCTGCTGGCACAATCACGCACTGCTGCTCGCAAATGTGGGTTCGGGCGCTGGTGTGCATCCAAAGAATCGTCCACATCTAGGGACAACTGAATCCGGTATTATGTGCCAGCAAGCCAATATGAAATAAAAACGCAACACACGGAGAATGCGCAAATGGCTCAAATCATGCAGCTGAGCAAATCCCATCCAAGCTCCCGTTACCTGCAAGAACAACAACACCACTGCTGCTGCCAGCAGCATCGGCAAGCACGGCGGCAGCTGGTGCTAGTAGTAGTAGTAGTGTAGTAGTAGTAGTAGTAGTAGTAGTAGTAGTAGTAGTAGTAGTTTAGTAGTAGTAGCAGCAGCAGTAGTAGTAGTAGTAGTAGTAGTAGTAGTAGCAGTAGTAGTCGTAG